CAGGGACAGCCTGGACTTCCTTGTAAAGCAAAGAAAGTTTCCTGGTCCTAATGACACGGCGAAAAAGAAAAAGAAAGGGCCACTGAGCTCTCTGGAACGCTCTCCCATATTTGTAAAACATTTCCTCCTTGGTATTTCTACCCAGTAGCGCCACTTCCTAGCTGCCACTCAGCAGCTATTCCAGGGGAGGGTGGAATATTCAAGCACATCATGTTCCTCTTATGCCGCCCAGGGACTTTCGGCGCGGTGACTCAGAGACCCTGTGACCTCGCCCAACAAAAGGAAATCCCAGACTGTTCCAAGCGGCTGAGTGTGATCTTTTTGGGGTTTTTTATGTGTGTGTCTCTCTCTTTCACAAGTCTGGTCGATGACTGTGCTTCATCACTATAAGTGAGAAATGATGCTCGTATTACAGCGTGGAAAGGCCAAGACAAAGTCATCGTCGTCGCGAGGAAGGAAACGCACAGCAGCCGCTCAAAGCAGTTCATGTTCATAAACTCCTCTTTTATTTTTCTTTATATAGTGTTTAAAATTCACACACATGTACAAGTACAAAAATAGTCTCTGTATTTACAAAATATTACACTCGTCTGTTCTGGTATATACACATTATTTTGTACAGTTATTACAGTAACATCAGGACCATACAGAAGTCATGGTCTTGCTTTGGTGGGGGGGTTTGGTACGGATCGTTCAGCGATCCCGACCAGACTGGGCGCCACCTTCATACTCATTCGTGATCCCAGGACCAGCACCTCTGGACTTGGACGGTAGAGGGTACGGAGGGTGGAGAGGGGGGGACATGGGTTGAGCTGTCCCCCCGTTTGGGAGCCGTGGTTTCGACTAACCCAGTAGCAGCTTTGCATCACCAGTGGACGGGCTGTTCTTGTTACTTTCCAAACTTTATGTCATCATAGAGCTGTAGAGAAGAAAAAAGATGTTATAGATTCACGCCTTAAAGTGTTTTGACTCCATCGGATCTCAGCGTGACGTTCAAAGCTGAGCAGATACTGACCTCGTCTTCCGACAGGTCCAGATCCTCCATGTCGCTGTCGTCCGATTCGCTTTCAGGCAGCTCCCTGAGCTCCTGTGCCGTTCTCTCAAACAGCTGGCAGCGGATCTCCTCGTTCTGCCGCCCGTAGGTGAGGTGGTACGGGGCGAAGCCACCGTAGTTCAGGCAGTTGACGTCTGCACCGAGGTCGAGGAGGCGACAGACTAGCGTGGGGTTCTGGAGGTCAACGGCCAGGTGGAGCGCCGTCCGTCCACTGCACTGTTCCTGCAGGAAGCAACAGAAACACGAGGTCAAGTTTCTGCATGTGTGTGAATAAGAATAATCATCATAATAATCATAAAATAATCCGAATGGCTTCCGTGTTAGAGACACCTACCTGTGCATTGATGTCTGCACCAAGCCGAACGAGGCTATCCACCAGAGAAATGTAGCCATTGATGGATGCCAAGTGGAGACAGTTATGTCCTATGGAGACGGAAGGAAGTAAACTCAGTTACACACACTTCAACAGCTGTGTAAGTGAAACATAAGTGTGTTTGTTTCTTAGGGCGCTATTTGAACGCGATGCTTACCACTGTAGTTGGGGAAAGACGCCATGGAGGTGAGGTGACGTTGGCAGTTCTGGGTGATGACGCCAAAGCAGGCCAGGGAGCCCTTTTTACAGGCGATGTGGAGGGCTGTGTTTCCGCTGTCGTCGGCCAGCAGCGGGTCAGCGCCGGCCTTCAGGAGTCTGTCCACCAAGTGGGCCTGCTCTGTGATCACTGCCAGGTGGAGGGC